TTCATCCTTCTGTTTGCAGGTTGATGCATTTGGGATTCTTTCTGTCTTGTAATTTTTTTTGTACATCATTCATTCTTTATTATGTGTTCAGTTTTTTTTTTTTTTTTTTTTTTTTTTTGAAGGCAGTGTTCAGTTTTCATATTGGATCGGCCCTTGTGGTCTAATCGAATTGGGCCGGTATAACATGTATAGAAAAATAATCAATCTTGAGTTTGATTTTCTATTCTTCATAGTTTGGGTTTGTTCTCTATATGGAGCCTAGATTGCTTTTGCAGTTGCAAATTTGCTGATAGAAAATAAGTTATCGACCTGTGGAATTCAATTGCCATATCTCTTGATATATACAAAGAAAAAGAGTTTTTCCCCTACACTCAGGTGTCCTGGCTCATTATTTTCAGATTTCATTTCATAATGTGCCGAATTTTTTTATTCATAATGTTCCCTGCTATTTACATTACTTTTGTCTCAGACCTTATCTGAAGGCTGAGTACCCTGCAGTATTCCCCCTTTTGTGGGGTTGTTGCCTTTTTATCTAATGAAGAATTTTCTACCAAAAAAAAAAACAAAAGAAAAAAGAAAAAGGAAATTTGCGTCATTGTTGATCAAAGTTCCAGTCGGATTCTTCCTCATTGTTTCATTTGTCTTTTAGCTATTGTTTTCAAAGCTTTTGCTTTCTGCTTTCTGTTCTTCCCCCTCTTTTTTTTTTAATTTTTTTTTATTTTGTAATTGGGGGTTCCCGTTTGATCCAAGTAATGCCGTGTTTTGTTCTTAAATCTAACTTTTATCTGCATCATTATTTAATTGATGCTCCATGAGTTGCATGCAAAGGGGAGAAATGTGCAGCACTGCACTGCCTTCACCATGTTTGGATTGTTAAATTGGAGCCTTGCCCACAAGTACTCATCCCATAGACGACAAAAGGAAGGGAAAATTACTTAGGTGGTGTTCTACAAAATGAATGTTTTTTGTTTTCATTTGTTTTTGAAATTGTCACATCAGTCAAAAAATAAAAACATGTTCTTGAGTTCTGTTATTGTTTTGACAGGCAAAACAAGTTGGTTTTGTTTCAAAAAATAAAAAACAATACATGTTTTGGAACCATATAAAAAATGGTTCTTTAAAACGAAAACAAATTTTGCAGTGTAGAAATTATATGGTTTATATAACATATTATTAAATAACCATATGAAAATATTTTCTTTAAACTAGAAATTCAAGAACATATTTTTAGTTTCAGTTTTGAAACAAAAAAAAAAGACATATATAACCAAGAACATGTCTTCTTTGTTTTTTGTTTTAAGAATCAATTTGTTTCAAACCAGCTGGTTTTGTTTTGTTTTGTTTTGTTTTGATGTTGGAACTGATAACAAGAAAAATCAATTCACACTGGAGAACACCCCCTTAAACTTCCTCTGTATTTTCTGTCAAATACTTAAACCTCCCATATATTTTGACCTCCACAAAATCCTAACTTCATGTCTCAGACAAATATGCAAACACACCCTTCCAACATCTCCATTACAAGTTAGTTAGTGAAGTGTGTGTTTGCATATTTATTTGAAACCTGAAGGGAGGTTTTTGCATAGGCCAAAGTACAAGGGAAGCTTAAGTATTTGTCAGAAAACATAAGGAAGTTTAAGCGATTTCCCCAAGAGGAATTGAATGCTTTTGTGAGGTTGGGAAGAAAACATTTGCTCCATTTGATAGCATACAATCTAGCCAGATCTGTTAGGGAAGGAATGTGAACAAGGCTCATAGTTGCATTGATAGTTTTTAGGTTTGTGCATCTGTATCCTTTTCATTAGCTTTCCAACTTGTTGGTGTTACCCTCCTCCCCCCATCTCTCCGGATTTTCTTTTCGCCAATATATATTGGTCATTGAATACTGTAGAGTGTAAATCTTAGGCTTGATTTAACCATCCCCTTAATGCTTCATGAGATTTTTCATGCAAGGATGTATATTTCATGATTGAGTCTTTGTTGATTTATCGGACATGGTCTATATAGACTAATGAAGCATCCATCTATTTTGCAGATAGCAGGGCCCCCACCTTCCAAAGGACCCATGGTAGAACACCAGAAGGCAATTGGCCTTTGGGCAGTAAAGCTACCTTCAGCAGATTCCACTGTTGTCCGTAGAACACTCTCAGCTCTAACAGAGAACCCGCATGGCCTTCCTGGGGTTGATGAGAATGATGGACAGATTGAAAGGAGAAAAAATTTCTGGTCAACGGTGAAGCCAGCCCATTTTGGGGTTAAGATAGGATCTAAGTCTCTATTGGGCACCATTCGGTTCATCACAGTTGGACTGTTCATTGGTCTCTTTGGATCAACTGCGTTTGGAAGGTGGCTTCTCTTGAAATATCCCTCGATTTTCAGTCTTGGGTGGTTTAAGAAGCAAGGGCCCACCGAAGAAGAGGTTAGGAGTGGTTCCTTCAAAATGTGGTTTATTGGACATGGTTATAGCGATGCTAATCTCGCATCCCAAGGAAATAGAAAACCAGATACTGAGATAATTACCAGAGTCATGGGGCCTGAGATTGGATATATAACCACCCCAATTGTTCTGCTTCAATGCGCGCTTGTACTGTTAAGTGGGCGAGGTAATCTACCCAAAGGAGGTGTTTTGCCACCTGGCATTGTTTTTGGCCCCACCGATCTCCAAGAACGTCTCCAACAGAATGGCATAACGTTTGATATCATCTCGAAGAATGTGCTTTCTGCCTAGTTAGTTGCTCCTTTTTCTTTTTTATTTTTTTGCTCAGAAGTTGCTCTAGGTTCTATGTTTTCTCAAGGCTCAAGCTGCTTTAAAAGAAAGTGGCGGCTTGAGATCAAAGTAAGACAGAAATGAATAAAATTCCAAGCACTGCTTTTGTTTTCTAACTATTAAGAATTAAGAGTGTTGTTTCCACTTTCCATCAGATCACTAGCCAGATGGTGAGGCTTCTTCTTTATGGGTGTGCCTGTGCCAGTGCCCACAAGAATTCTTCTTGTTAAAGGACCAGAGATGATTTCAGGTTGTGGGGCACGGTTGCAAAATGGTTGTTGGCCGGCCTGAATTTGCAATTTTTTTTTTGTGATGAGTGAGATGACTGATGAATCCTCCCTCTTTGGGGGCGGTGGTGGTCTGGCAACTGGCATTGGTAAGGCAGTGGACCACTAGGTTGTTAGTGCCTTAGGGCCGTCCATGGACCGGTTTTGGATTGGATGCTGTTCAAAGCAAAGTCAATGTGAACAAATGGGACGGTTATATTAGACAATGAATTGGACCAGTCCAAACTTAATGGTCTAAAGTAATTTATTGGATTCTTACCTGCTCTTGATCTTGTGAATAATTTTAAGGTACATTAGGTGATCCATCAGGGGTGAAGTGTTTACGAGAATTGGCAAGCTCACGCTTAATGGCCTTTTCAGTTATGCGGAAGCTGTGGCCCGGACGAAGAAGTATGGACAGGTACAATGCAGATTTTTTATTTTCACTGCAGAGTTATAAAACATTCAAAAGGTTAAAAATTTACATTCTATGCACTCATATTCGCCCGTGAATTGGCATTAAATCCGATCTGACACCTGCCCCAAATGTACTTTGAGCCTATAAATTCTGACCCTATGCTGAACCGTCATTCTTCCTAAAAAATACTATCAATACATTTTTGAAAAAGATTAAAAACAACTTTTATTGCTTTTTATCACTTTGTTAGAACATTCATCAAGTGCTCACTGAATGTACTTACAATATTGTGCCTACTAAACCTTGACCATGAGCCTATTTGTATCACTATTCCAAATCAACTTTTCCCTCATAAAATGATCCTCACACCAACTTCACAGCACTTGCAGCCACACGTTGAGAACCTCACATAATGGCTACAAGCCTACAATTGGTTCAGATCTCCTACCCACAATTTCTTTGCACAACACTATATGATCGTATTGAAAATCTCCATTATCATTCATAGAGAGATGTTTTCAATTCATGTGGGTGGGAATGTGGGAAGAGTTTGTGAGTAGGAGATATGGAGTGAGAAATAACATGCTCTGAGGAACAAATGCAGATTCAACACTTTCCACCTCATGAATTAGGGCTGTTCACGGGTCGGGTTGGGTYAGTTTATTGGTTTTTTCCAACCGACCCAACCTAGTCAGTTTACCTAGAAATGAAACTGAAACCAACTCAGTACTAAGTAAAATCAACCTAGTCGGTTTAATTTGGTTTGGGTCGGTTTTATGAATGATTCTCTCGGTGTGAGCGGTAAAGGATTCAAGTCTAAGAAGCGAAAGCTGGATGCCTAGAAATTAAAAATGATTTGATGGATTAAAGCTGAAATTTTAAATATAATATGTATATTTCCAAAATAAAGTTGAAATATATATATATATATATATATATATATATATAATATATCTAAGTCGGTTCGGTTTCGGTTTTCACACATGAAAATCGAAACCGAACTGAACCATTGGTTTTTTTTGTAACCCGAAACCGACCAGTGCTGAAGAAAAACCGGCCGACTCAAGTTGGATCGGACCGGGTTGGTCGGTTTAGGTCTTGTTATGAACAACCCTATCATCAACGCTGTTTGGTGCCGCTGGCGACACCCACTGCCTAGAATTGAACATCAATCCAAGTTCCGCAGGAATCGAATCGAACCCACAAGCGGAGACCACCAAGGACCCCTTCTCCACTGCCTTCTCGTGGTAAATTGCCTCCATTTTCTCCATGAATTCAGGTTCACCACAGATATCCAAGTAATCGCAGCCCGCTTCGACACAGGCTGAGAMAACTGGCTCGCCGTAGAGGCGAAAGGGTCCGATGCAATTCAAGATAAGTTTGGTTTTGGTGCAAAGATCCCGCAGAGATGATGGGTCGGAAACATCGGCTCTGATGATGGGAAGGGAAGGAGGGGTTGCAGGGTGAGATGCCCATTTCAGGGATTCGACCAATTTGGCAGGATTCCGGCCTGCTAGAGCGATGGTTTTGAGGGGAGATGAAGGGGTATTGAGGAACTTGAGAGCTTCTCTTATCACGTATTTTCCAGTGAAACCAGAAGCTCCTAGGATTATCAGATCATAGTGCTTCTCGGAGTTGTGTTGACTTTGTTCCATATGGAATCGACTGACGATCGACGATTCTTTGGAAATGGAGTCAATCGATTGAGAAGTATGAAAAGTAGAAATCTTTCCTCCAAATTTGTATCCAAAATTTTGCCATTAATAATCTCCGCTATTCTGACATTATAGAAAACCTCCCACTTTTATTTTAATTATAAGGGAAAATTTTACTTTAATACCCTGAACTTTGGAATAATTTCAATATGTCACTGCATAAAAAACCTCCCATTTTTATTTTGATAATAAGGGATAATTTTACTTTAATACCCTAAATTTTGGGATAATTTCAAGAGTACCTGAACTTTCAAAAAGTGTCAAATTGGTCCCTATCGTTTACCAACCGGTATTTATCTATTGAAAATGTCATAAGTACTCTTCAAAGAATACATTATTGGCCAATTTTTTGGTAAATTTCTTAGATTATTCTTATTGTTTAATTTACTAAGTACACACCCTTATTGTTTGACTATTGTCTAATGCTACTCCTATTGTTTTGGAAAATTACCATTATCGTTAAAATATTAACGGAATAGCTGAAATGTCCATTTTACCCTCTTTAAAACACCTAAGTTTGCACCCATTTTCTAAGTCCCGATTCATTAATTATTCTCACCTCATTTCTCGTTTCTCCCCCCTCATCTCAATCTTTCCACATCTGTAGCGCTTTGTTTATCATTTCTCAGACAAAGAACAAGGGAACACCCAATAGTGATGAAACCACTTTTCTAACCTTTTTCTTAGCATGTCCTCATTCAGTTAAGTCATTTTCATATCCCTTCGCCCTTGATTCTGTTAAATCATTAAGAGAGGAATCAGGTTTTGTCACCTCTGATTACCGCTACTGTGTCGATTGTGTTAAGAGGTTCGAGACGAAGATGAAAAATTGATATTGGGTCATTGTTTCTGTTGTTCGATGGAGAGTGAGAAAGGGAGAAGAGAAGCCGAAATCGTATTTTCCTGACATTTCCTTTTTCTCTTTACAAAGATGGACAATTGCTACTCCTTGTGAAATACAAAAGGAACTGCCTTGCGGAGTACATAAGGAATGACCTTCGTCCCCTATGAAACTATCGCTCCCTCTCTCTCTTTGCCATCTTCCCCTTTGAAACTACTGCTCCCTCTCTCTATTCTCCCATCTCTCTCCCCCCCTTTCTTCCATTGTTAGATTTTTTCCCCTTCGTTCTCTTTCCCTCTCTCTCCCTTTCCCTATTTCAATAGCCGTCGCTTGCAGCGGCGGATCTAAACACAACGGCGGAGCAGCGCTGTTTAACTCAAGGTTTGGAGAAAAAGAAGAAAAGCAAAAGCCCAAGCAAGGTGCCTCTCTTTCTTAGATAGACCGACATCCAAATCGTATATCTTCTCTTCTTTCTTATTCCGACTTCTCTGTTCTTGTTTAGACAAACAAGGAGAAGTCTCATTAATGTAAGGAAAATACGATTCTAGTTTCTCTGTTCTGGTTTCTTTGTTCATCATCCCTCTCCCCTTCCTCATCTATGCCATTTACGGCTAGGGGCAAGCAAAAAAAAACCAAAAAACCGAACCGACCGAAACCGAACCAAATTTTCTTTTATTTTTCGTTATCTTCTTTAACCTCTTTTGAGTTTTGAGTATTTCAACGTGAAATTATATTTTTGCTGAAGAGAAAAATATACATCTGTATGCAGGTTTGATGCATTTGGGATTCTTTTGTCTTCTTGTAATTTGTAAAACCTCTCCTGTGATTGCAAATTTGCAATCACCTCCTTAAACTTTCTGAAATAGTCGCAAGTACACCAATTTCTTGGAATCTTGGAAATGTCTAAAATATCCTTTTGAGTCTAGACCCAAATGTTTATTTTTTAAATTTTTTCCTCATGTGAATTACTAGTCCAAACCCTCTTCATCTCTTTTCTGAAATTGAATTATTTTTTATATTTCTTCATCATATGAATTGCTTAAAGGTGAATCTGTAACTTTAAATTTTCTATTATAAAATTTATATTGTTTTTTTTTTCTTATAGAAATTAGTTTCAATAGTAATTATATTATATGGGTATTTTAGATATTTTCATGTCTAGAGGATGGCGTTCTTATAACTGTGTCAAAATAGTTTAAAGGAGGTGATCAAGGTTCAAAGTATGGACACGTATCAGCCCGTAACAGCCGGTACTTATTGTTCTGGGACCTCCCTGATATGCCCTACAGTGTGTGTATCGGGGTTCTAACCAGTTCAGGGGGTGGAGGAGCTTTAAACCGGTCCCTATGAACTGATTTTGAAAAAAAAAATTAAAAAAAATAAAAAAGTCAAGTATTGATATCGCCCAATGCGCCCCTACCGGTATATCAAACATATTGATATTTTGAACCTTAGAGGTGATTACAATTACTAAACTTGAGGAGAAGTTTCAACAATTTATGTGTTCAATTTTGGTAGAGACCTGCCCTTCTAGCGTAATGGAATTGCCTAATATAACATGTATAGGAAAATACAAAATAGTCAATCTTGATTCTTGACTTTGATTTTCGATTCTTCTTAGTTTGGATATTTTCTCAATATGGGGCCTACATTGCTTTTGCTTGTGCAAATTTTCTGATAGAAAAACAACTATCTACTTACAGAAGTCATTTGACTTCTTTTGGTCTTGCTTGTTTATTTTCAATCTTCATTTTTTCTTTGTTCAATATGCTGAAATTTATTTATAAATAAGTCCAACAAACAGGTTTTATCTTGTATTTGGGGGTTCCCGTTTGATCGAAGTAATGCCATGTTGTTTTATCTGCGCCTTTATGGGCTTTCCCTTCAAACCAAACATAGCTTTATTTAACTGATTATGTCGTTTTTACGAGTTCTATGTTTTTTCTTCTTATTTTCTTTTCTACAATTTACGGTTTTGATTTTGTTTATTAGATTTTATAAGTCAAACCAAACAGTTTACATGTAATATATAATTATGTATGTAATTATATAATTGTATTATGTATAAATATAATAAATTCTTTAATTTTATAATAAAATAAAAGTTTTAACTTTTAACTTTTTAGAGGTGTTATATGGGCTTTCTAATTGTATTAGGCCCAATAGAATCATAGAATGGCCTAAAGTCCCCAAACCATATTAGCAACCACACCAAACTGTAATAAAACGGTTTGGTCTGAGGTCTTTTCCACACCGCACCAAACTGGACCGTGAACACCCCTTTACCATGTTTGGATTGTTGAATTGAGGTTTTGTGCCACAAGTACTCTTCCCATAGATGACAAAAAGAAGGGAAAATTAAGAGGCGTTCTACAACATGATTTTTTTTTCATTTGTTTTTGAAATCGCCACATCAACAAAAACCAAAAACACATTCTTGAACTCTTTTTTGGCTTAAAAGGCAAAAACACGTTAATTTTGTATATAAAAAAAATGATACATGTTCTTGGAACCATAAAAAAATGGTTTTTTTAACCAAAACACATTTTGTAGCGTATAAATTATATGATGATTTATGGAATATGATATTAAATAACGATATGAAAATATTTTCTTTAAACTAGAAATTTAAAAACACATTTTTTGTTTCACTTGTGGAAACATAAAAAAAAAAGCACATATATACCAAGAACATGTCTTCTTTATTTTTTTTAAAGAATCAATTTATTTTCAAATCAGTTGGTTTTGTTTTTTTTCTTTTTTGATGAATAACATAAACTGATTGATTAAATTAATAAAGAAGATGTACAAGATGATTACAAGACAGCTCAAAAGAAATTATCCCTTCCCACCCCTGCTTTGCTAATGTATCAATGAAAGTGTTAGCATTCCTTTTCACCCATTGCACATTGATTTCCACTCCTTGAGACAGCCATTTACTCCTTTTCTCATTAATATAACTCCATCATCTTCCTTTTTCAGCCACTCAATAACTAATTTTGAATCCCCCTCAATTACTAGCTTATGAATATTCAGTTCTTTAACCTTTTGAAAACATTCCAACACAACCATGATTAGATGGCAATAATTCTTCCTTCATTTTTGAAATCTCCCCCTCTATAATTCTCTCCTTTTCAAGAAAAATCTTTAGAAATTTTTTCTTCCCAAGCTGTCCAACACACAACTGCCCTTAAGCTTCCTTTGTGTTTTCTGTCAAATACTTAAACCTCTCATGTAGTTTGATCTCCACGAAAACCTACCTTTATGACTCCGATGAATATCCAAATACATCCTTTCAACATCTCTATATTACCACATCTTCTTACAAGTTAATTAACAGAAGGGTGTGTTTGCATATTTATTTGAATCCCGAAAGGAGGTTTTTGTAGAGGCCAAAGTACAAGGAAGGTTTGAATATTTGTCAAAAATCACAGGGGAAGTTTAAGTAATTTCCCCAAAGGAATTGAATACCTTTGTGTGGTTGGGAAGAAATTAAAACCTGTGCTGCATTTGATAGCATAAAATCTAGCCAGATCTGTTAGGGAAGGTATGTATTTTGACAAGGCTCATAGTTGCCTCAAATGATTTTTGGGTTTGTGCATTTCTGTATCCTTTTCATTAGCTTTCTAACATGAACGATTCTTGTTTATTATTACCCCCCAGTTTTTCTGAACTGAAAAACTTTTTGCTTTGTCTATTTAGTGGATAAAATAATAATCTACCCAATTTCAATTTCAGCTTCTGCAATTAAGGACAAAACAATAAGCTTTATAGTTCAGCCACTTTTATGGCTGTTATCAAATGTCACCCTAACTGATGCAGAATGTGGAAATCTTGGGCCTGATATAACCATCCCTCTTAATGCTTCATGAGATTTGTTTATGGGGAGGATGTAAATTTCATTGCTTTGTGAGACATGGTCTATATAGACTGATGATGAAGCATCCATTTATTTTGCAGATACCAGGGCCCCCACCTTCCAAAGGACTGATGGTAGAACACCAGAAGGCGAAGGCAATTGACCTTTGGGCAGTAAAGCTACCTTCAGCAGATTCCACTGTCGTCCGTAGAACACTCTCGGCTCTAACGGAGAACCCGCATGGTCTTCCAGGGGTTAATGAGAATGATGGACAGATTGAGAAGAGAAAGAACTTTTGGTCGACGGTGAAGCCAGCCCACTTTGGGGTTAAGCTAGGATCTAAATCTCTATTGGGCATCATTCGATTCATCATATTTGGACTGTTCCTTGGTCTATTTGGATCAACTGCGTTTGGAAGGTGGCTTCTCTTGAAATTTCCCTCGATTTTCAGCCTTGGGTGATTTAGGAAGCAAGGACCCACTGAAGAAGAGTTTAGGAGTGCTTCCTTCAAAATGTGGTTTATTGGACATGGTTATAGCGGTGCTAATCTCGCATCCCAGCAGGGAAACAGAAAACCAGATACAGAGATAATTACCAGAGTCATGGGGCCTGAGGTTGRATATTTAACAACCCCAATTATTTTGCTTCAATGCGCGATTGTACTGCTAAGTGGGCGAGGTAATCTACCCAAAGGAGGTGTTTTGCCACCTGGCATTGTTTTCGGCCCCACCGATCTCCAAGAACGTCTCCAACAGATATTTCTTATTTATGGTCATTGATAATATAGACATTAGGTCAGCAACTCAGGCTAGTGTGTTTACCTAATAAGTTGTACCAAGCTAGACTCCTAGCGGGTGGGCCTTGTGGGGCTCCAGTCCACACCGGTTATAGCCTATAGGTCAAGTGTCCCGTGGGCCGGGCCCAAAATTTTGAGATCCACTCACTTGTCGAACGCTTGTGAGTTGTGAACGGGCTATAGAATTAGAGAGTAGAAAGAAATTCAAACTCAAAACAGCTATTAGGCCATTTAAGCCTGTTATGTTACCCAATGACTGTAGGAGGAAATGGCGGGAATTATTGCTGCTCTGGATCAGTGGATCTTCCGAGTTCTGATCATCAAAATGGTGATTAAAAGGGGAAAAGAAAATGAATGCGATCTCGTTGTCGTTGCTGCGCAGACGTGCGCTTTGCCTCAAGAAGTCTCCTCATCGTTTTTGGGTCTTTTACCGAAACTGCCCCCGAACAGCGGCTAGAGCCTCTTGAAGTTGATCGGACAATAGCTTCCATTGATTCCATCAATTCGAATCCCTGGTTTTCCCTGTTGAATCTCTGCCACAGTATAAATTTTCTCAAGAAAATACACGGCTTGCTGCTACTCCATGGATTAGCAGGTGACCTTCTCTGCCAAACAAAATTGGTTAGTTTGTATGGTTCCTTCGGGGATGTCGAGTGCGCTCGCTTGGTTTTTGATAGGATATGAAACCCAGATCTATATTCATGGAAGGTGATGATCAGATGGTACTTCCTTAATGATTGTTATTCGGAAATAATCCCGTTTTATACCTGTATGAGACAATGTCTAAGAGAGTTGGATAACATTGTTTTCTCTATTGTGTTGAAGAGGTGCACTGAACTGCATGATATAGACGAAGGCAGGAAACTCCACTCCCATGTTGTAAAATTAGGGAATCCTGACAGTTTCGCATTGACGGGTCTCATAGACATGTATGCCAAATGAGGAGAAGTTGAATGTTCTCGTAGTGTGTTCGAGGAAATTCCTGATACGTGACCTCTTGGACATCTATGATCATGGGATATGTTCAGAATGATTTCTCAATAGAAGGGTTGGTTTTATTCAATCAGATGAGACGTGAACCGATTGAAGCTAACCAATTTACAGTGGGGGGCTTACTCACAGCATGCATCAAGTTAGGTGCTTTACATCAAGGCAAATGGGTCCATGGGTACATAATTAAGCA